TTCCATAATGTACACATCATTACTGTTATAGCTTCAGGAGACGTTAGTATTCCATAATGTACACATTATTTCTGTTATAGCTTCAGGAGACGTTAGTATTCCATAATGTACACATCATTACTGTTATAGCTTCAGGAGACGTTATATTCTACTATAATTTTGATGAAATATTTATATTTAGTGAAACTGAAAGAGAAAACTTGAGCGACAATTTGATTTAACTTGTGAACTACACGAAAGCCGCTACACTGATTGTTCTAATGACCATCAGTAATCTGTATTACTTCTTGTTCTTCTCGTTGAAACAACACACAGCTGCTAATGATGTGCCTTTTAGCCACTTGAACAATACAGTTATCTAAGTCTACTTTAGTTAACCCTCAAAGTTAATAAAATTTAGATGCAATGTAGTACACCGAGAGGATAATGTAGGCTTAAGAACCGTTGTCATGATTAGTAGCCTATACCATTACCTAAGTCTAATTATAAATTAGTAACTATTTTTTTTTATGATTAGATACTAGTTAATAATTAGTTTTTGGTTTATGTTTTTGCTAATAACCCATTGCCGTCTTAAGGATAATCCCGAGAAGGGTTATTTCTAGGTTGGTAGAAGCCGAATTCGATCTTGGGTTTCGTGATAGAAAGTCCGGTGTATTATTCATGGATTCGAATGTAGGATGTGGTTCTTGAATCTTATCTGTAATGTTTGGCCATATTATAAATGTATCATTAATATATCTGAGCCAAATCTGGAGGCGTAGAGTGGTTGTTTTGAGGGCGTTAACTTTAAAATGTCCACGTAGAGGCTACAGAGCACTGGTGATAAAGGTTAGCTCATGGTTGTTAGTATTTTTCTTCATGTTGAAAGTGGTTGTATCCAAACAGTACGTTGTGAGGCGTTAACTTCGAAATATTTCATGTATAGGTTATTTAGTATTGGCGATTGGGGTGAGCCCATAGCTAAGCCTTCTTTTTGTTGGTAGTATTTATCTTCATGTTAAAAGTGGTTGTATCCAAACAGTACGTTGTGAGGCGTTAACTTCGAAATGTTTCATGTATAGGTTATTTAGTACTGGCGATAGGGGTGAGCCCATAGCTAGGCCTTCTTTTTGTTGGTAGTATTTATCTTCATTATTTAAATATATAGACAAAACAACGTTTACATTACACAATAAAAATATTCAAAAAATTACTATATGTTTCGATAGCTTCCGCTACCATGATCAGGAGTAAAAACCTATAGCTTCCGCTACCATCAGGAGTAAAAACCTACAGCTTCCGCTACCATGATCAGGAGTAAAAACCTATAACTTCCGCTACCATCAGGAGTAAAAACCTATAGCTTCCGCTACCATGATCAGGAGTAAATACCTATAGCTTCCGCTACCATCAGGAGTAAAAACCTGTAGCTTCCGCTACCATCAGGAGTAAAAACCTATAGCTTCCGCTACCACCAGGAGTAAAAACCTGTAGCTTCCGCTACCATCAGG